CCTAGTCTTAAGGCTTGAAATAGCTCATATAAACTCTGGACCCTCGACTTAAAATAAGGACTTAGTCCAGGTTTCAGTAGAAATCACCAGGGTCACCTGAAGAATGCAGTGATCTAGGGGGCCTCAGTGGACCCCTATTGGTACCAAATTCTAGTTTAGTATAGATTTCAGGTGATCTCCTGTGGGTTTCTCTGAAATCCTGCCAACTACGCCAAGAAATGTCCACACAAATAATCTATAATCAATCTATAAATCAAAATAGGGTGAGTTTACTATAAGCCAGATCTGAGGACTAAGCCAAGGCCTTCCTTCCCCAAGGAAGGAAGGGTACCAAAAAACTGGGGTGTACAGAGTGGTTATATACCATCTTGGAACAAAGAACATACAACACATATGATAAGGAATGTGCCTTTTACAATAGTCATGAGACTGCTTTGATGGCACACCAGATAGGTGAACGCAGCAGGTCAATGGTCACAAGGTGAGCACAGAAGGTTGGTAATTTATCCTTAGTTTAGGGAGAGATGCTTATCCTTAAAGAAATGATGATCTGGGGGAAGCTACATCCCAATCTTTGAGGTTATCCTTCTCATCTTTGGGACATAGCAAATATTTAAATCAGATGTACAATACAAGCTTAACAGGCCACATCAGGCCCTTTTGGAAAAACAAGATCAGGCCAAATTAGTTTTAAACCAAATGGCTTCCTCATATACTCCAATATATCCTATTGCTTTTCACTTATTTATCAATGTCAGTAATACTCAGTATGTAATTTAACATAGGCTAGAAAAGAGCAATACTTTCATGCAATATCTAGGGGATTCTATGAGCTATGGACTGTTTTGAAATAGACGCCTGTAGTTCAAGTGCTAGATTCTGACTACCACTGGATAAGACTAAAAGAATGTATATTTAGCTCTAATTTCACTGGAATCTTGAAATCTTCCAGGGCTTCTGAGGACAACAATTCATTACTTCACTAATTTTACTCCTTGGCTATGATTTTAATTTTTTCATTGTTTCCCAGCAAACTAAGGTGCATAAGAGGTTTCCTGATATAGAAAAAGAAAGTTTTACTAAGTCACCTCTAAAATACCTTTCAGTGCTCAAATTAGATGAATCTTTGACATAATCTTGGTAGATCTATCCTTGTAAAAAATCTGATAATCTCTCTCAGCCACAAATAAGTGTGGACTGTGGCCAAAGTAAGACCAGTTAGTTTTTATTTTAATCAGTTTGACTCCCGAACATAACATTAGAGCTGAATCTAGTTTTCATAAGCTTTTCTCAGAAATAAAACATTTTTATTTAATTCCCTACATTCCAGTATAAATATGGTGTTGAGTTGATTTACCTTAACGCTTGTAATTATTATAACATTAATTCTAAGCATCATCCTTAATTCTCTTTTAATTTCTTTCCATTTTCTTCCAGAGTTCAAGCATTATATATATATAAAATGCTTGAACACATGTATATCTATGTGTGTTTGACTGCAACTTTTGGTTTGGTTTTAAATTCTGGCAAGATAAACATTTAAAAGAATTTGGTATAGGAAAAGTAACTTTAAAAAGTGCTTCTTTTAATATTTAATAATACTTTTTTCACGTGACTAAACTTACAGTTAATTTGCAAATTTAAAAGAAATTTGGATGTCACCTGTTTAGGAATCTGAATTGTTGAATGCCTTTTTTTTTCATTGATCTAGAACCACATCACATAATGAGTCATTTAGAACACATTTTTCTCTTTGCTCATAAGCTTTCTGAATTCCTTGCTATAAGTACTGAATAACCATTGGCAAAAATCACGACTAGAGGTCTGATTATTGCGTGCCTATCCAACACTAGCACCAGAAGCTTCACTAAGAAACAATAATGGGGCTCTGAGCCACCCAGATTAAAGAAACATGTGACTATAAAGCAAATCATTGTATAAGGAATTGCTGAAATTAAAGAACATGCTGCTCTGCAAAATGATCTAAAAATTGAAGTGCTGATTCCATGGTAGAAAAAACTGTTTTGATGTTTTCAAAAGATCAAAGCTTTGAAAAGCACATGCACAGACCCGAGAACATCCCCCAAAATGTGCTCCTCTTTATCCTCAACCTAAGGTTTGTTATTTTCACATCACTAGAAAAGCCTTGAAAACAATGGTTACAATACATTTAATATTTAACTTACCCAACTAATTTATTTTTATTAGCTGAAAATGTGAGTCATTTCAACTGACGTTTCTGAAAGCCACAAATTGTCTTTTTTTTTTTGTGAGGAACATCAGCCCTGACCTCACATCCATTGCCAATCCTTCTCTTTTTGCTGAGGAAGATTGGCTCTGGGCTAACATCTGTGCCCATCTTCCTCCACTTTATATGGGACGTGGCCACAGCGTGGCCTGACAAGCTGTGTGTGGGTGTGCGCCCGGGTCCGAACCTGCGAACCCAGGCTGCCGAAGTGGAGTTCAAGCTCTTAACTGCTTCCTCCACCAGGCTGGCCTCAACACAAATTGGCTTTGTATTGATATATTTTTCTTGCATTGGACTGATCTTCAAATAGTTAGTGTTGACTTCAAGCCTGGCTAAGCCATTCCCTAAACTCCTCCTTTTCCTCCGTAACTGATTCTCCTCAGCTTGGGCCATACAGAGTAGTGTGGTATATTGTTTCCGAGAATATGGAATACTCTACTCGTGACCTGATTCCTATGCTCCTTTGTTAGCAGTGGTGACAATGGGTAGGGCGCTTGCAGAAGCATAGTGACTGAACCCCTTTTGTGTTCCTCCATGGCTGGCAGGCACCCTTCCCTCCCAGAACGTTGTATCCTTTGTAGTATCTTGTGGGCCAAACAAAAGTCAGCAAAGTTTTCGAGAACAGAACTTCCTTTAGATTCAGAGTGAATATATTTAATTCATATATTATATTTATGAAAACAGTCTAATATATTTACAATTGCAAATAGGTGTTGGACAAAAGGGCAAGAAGTGCAAAAAGTTATTGGCCAAAAAGAACAATGAGGGTGGAAGTTTGAACTTCAGAGAGAGAAAAAAATGTTGGTAGGTTTGCTCCCCCTTCATTTCTTCTCACATTTTTCTCCAGGTGAACTTTCCTCATCTTTCATGACCAGAAAGCAATTTTCCCTCCCTATCTTTTACCTACAGAAGTTCTAAGGTACAGGACACCACAGTGCACTCTAGACTGAGACACAGCATGGGTCTACCGCTGTTCAAAGGAAGGCAGGGCGAGATACGATAAAAAATCTTTTTAACAAGTTAAAAAATTATTACATCTGCATAGAAAAAAATCAAAAAGTACAGAAGATCATAATACAAAATGTAAAAGTCTTGGTCCCTCCAGCCACTGGTTCTAATTATAGATAATAGGTTTATCAAAACTTTCCTATGCATCTTTGCAGAAGGTTATGCTTATAGCACTGTGTGTGTTTGTGTGTGTGTGTGTGTGTGTGTGTGTTCTTATTATCCAAATAGCACCTTACTCTATCCAACCATTAAAAAATTGAGGTTGGGGGGCCGGCCTGGCGGCATAAGCGGTTAAGTGCGCGCTCTCCACTGTGGCGGCCTGGGGTTCGCAGGTTCGGATCCGGCTGTCCATTGACACACCCCTTGTTAAGCCATGCTGTGGTGGCGTCCCATAAAAGTAGAAGAAGATGGCCACGGATGTTAGCTCAGGGCCAATCTTCCTCAAGAAAAAAGGGGAGGATTGGCATCAGATGTTAGCTCAGGGCTAGTCTTCCTCACGCACACACAAAAAAAATTGAGGTTGGTTACATTCATGTGTCATTTGTTTATTTTAAAATGTATCTTTCTGTATCATTATGTATCTAGCTTTTCCATGATTACATAGAGTAATGGGCTATTTTAATGGTAAAAAATTAATAGTTAATATTAAATAATGGTTTAATATTTTAATAATTGTATAGAATAAAGTGGTCCATTGCATGCAAACCTGTAATTTTTTTAATCATTCCACTATTGATAGCAATTAGTATTTTTATAAGTTATTTGTTGTTTTGTTTGTTTGCATAACAAATATGCTTCAACATAGGGCTCTGGGTACAGATGCCAGTACAATTTTATTGTTTTGACATTTTCTCTATTTGTATTGAAATTGTTCTCACAGCAAACTATTCACACCACAGAACACCATCTTGGCTTCTCAGGTCCACTTCAGACTGGTGATCTAGAAGCAATGCTTGCTTTCTCTTCCTCACTTTTGACCTAACACTAGTCAAACGTATCCATGCGCCTCAGGCACAGAAGTTTACAGTTTCTGTTCCTCTAATCTGCTCCCTGCGGTGAGGCGCAGAGCATTAACTACCCTAAGCGCCTGGCAGAACGCAGACTGGGAAGTAGATAATTAAAAGTCTGCTCATTTTGTACTGGGCCTTTTCCAGTTCATTGGTTACCTCTGACAAACACAAACAGAGGCCAAATTCTAGACAGTTAAAAGCTCCCTGGAGTCATGGCTCCCGGCCGTGGTGTAAGATCAGATGTCCCACTAGGATCAAGCACAGAACGTCACTGGGTCTTGCAGGGAAGTTTAGTAATGGGCAGAGCTGGTTTTGACACGACACTCACCAAATTATACTACTGAAAATTTTAGCTGGCTCATTCCACTAATCTCATTGACTAAAAGTAAAATGTGCTAAGCTAAGTATTATTAGCTTTCAGTTGCCGTAACTGTTGAGGGACCAAGCCACAAAGGAAATGTTTATCTGCAAGATGCCAATAAAAAAAAGAGGATGCTGGCCACCGAGAGTGTATTCTTTTTAAGGCTTGTGCGTTGCAAAATATGTACACAAACACACACACACCCCTCCTTAGTTTTTGCTACCCCTGAGGACAGACCTTTGGATAAGAACACATTTGGTGGGACCACAACAGCTGCATTCTACCTGCCCCGGAATTCATTCAAGGAGCAGGCCTGGGGCTTCTCCGTCGTCACTGTTATGGCCTCAAATGAAAGCCTTGTCACCCAGGCGGAGGTGGGAAGGCACTGGAGCGCAGCAGCGAGGAGAGCATCCGAATTCCCTCCTCTGTTGCTGATTGGTTGAAAACCAGCAGGCAGCAGCCAGCCCCCTGCGGCTCGACTCGCCATTTGCTGCGAAGAGGTGGCAGTCAGGGCGGGCCGAGGCTGCGGCGCTCCTTCCAGCTCTGCGCTGCCGCCGCGGTCCTGTTGCGCTGCCGCCGCTGCAGCCGCCGCCTGGGTCGCCGTGGTCCGCGCTTCTGCGTGGGGACTGCTTCCCCGGCTCCGGGCGCAGACACCATGGTGAGTGCTCTCAGCCGGGTCAGGCTGGATCGTCGCGTCGCGCCGGGCCTGGCTGCTCCAGGGAACCGGCCGCACCACCGGAGACGGGCGCAGGGGCCGGGGAGCGCCCCGAGGGGCGCGGGAGCAGCCTCGCTGTTTGCCTGCGTCCGGGGAAGGGGAGGTGGGAGAGTGGCGAGTCGCTGCGGGGGCGGTAGGTGATTTGCTTCGTAGGGGGTCGGCCGCGCCGCACCGCGTCGCCGTTTCCCGAGCTCGGGAAGGGGACGTGCGGCCGAGGCGCGGGGGCTTCTCGGCTCGGGCGGCCTCACTGGTGGGAGAGGTTGAGCGCCGGCGGCGGGGGAGGTGCCGGGACCGTGTACCCTCCGCCGCGCTTTCCCGGATGCCCAGCCGGCCTAGGAGCAGTGACAGGTGAGCGGGGTAAGAGGTGGCATGGGGGTGGGGCGGATGGTGACTGAGAGGATGTGTTCTTGATTGGGGCGGGGGTTGCGCCCCTCTCATGCCCCTCTGTAGCACCGAGTACCCCGAATAGAGCGGAACCAGGGGGTGGGGTCCAAGGTTACACCAGCTCAGTGGCAGGAGATGCAGCAGCCTCGCCCTCAAGCCCTTTCCCACCTACAGCTGGCTCCTGACGCTCAGGTCTCCCCCTGTCCCCGCAGTACGGATTCGTGAATCACGCGCTGGAGCTGCTGGTGATCCGCAATTATGGCCCGGAGGTGTGGGAAGACATCAAGTAAGTGACTGGCTCCTCGAGCTCCCGCCCGGCGCTGGCGCCGCGTGTGGGGGTCCGAGGCGGCCCCCGGCGCTGGCCCCCGCGCCTCGCTTCGTCCTCCGCTTCCTGCTGGGTCGCGGGCGCGCATCCTCGGAGATGCCTCCGCCCGCCGCCCGCGGCTGCAGCTGCGCTCCCACGCTCCGGCGCGCGGACCCGGAGAGGAGGGGCGGCCAGGGCGGGGCCGCGAGGGCGAGAGCCGGGAGAAGCAGCCGCTGGGGTCACCGCGGCCTCCCGACCCGGCCCGAGCGTGGGAACGCGCTGCCAGCTCCCGGGCGGCTCCCAGGCTGTGCAGGCCGGCGGCTCCCACGCGGAGAGGGGCCGGGGGACCACAAAGGCCTCCGCGAAGTTCAAGCTCCCAGAGGCCTGAGAAACAAGCGGAAGACCTTGGCTCGTTTGTAATTTACACACCATGCAGGCACATAAAACAGTTAGCCTTTTCGGTATGCTAAAGCTCGCTTCTCTTGAGACTATTTCTTGAGCTACTGTGAATCAAGCGCATTTATTCATCTGTAATAAAGTGAAATTGGAATGTTTTCCCTTTCATTTTTCCAAAATACCACCCCCCCACACACTTTTTTTGGTTTCTCCGATGATGAAGGCTGTCAGTTGTAGGAGGGCGTCGTAGATTCAGTCTAGAGCTGTGAGCCCAGTTCTCTGGGTGTGAACGGAAATACCACAGCCACCTGAGAGTTTAAGCCTGTTGGAATGGTGGGTCATCTCGGCGGGCACATTGAGGATTTCAGTCTTAACAAAGTTCTCTCTTTTTTCTCTCTCTCACTCTGGTGAAATTTGCATTTAACTTGTATAGCTGACCACAACCAACTAGCTACACCAAAACCATACATATGGATTTTCATATTGGAACAACAATCTAATCCCTCTGTCCCATTCAGAGGGAGGTAGAGGGAGTGGTTACTTGGGTGGGTAGAGGAGAACACATGGTTATTATTTACTCATTTCCGGTACTCCCTGATTTCATTTTGTTGTATCAAGTAGGTGGTACTTGCATGCTAATTTTTATTAAATACATTACAGTAATTAGCAGTCAACTCCAACAGGCCTTATTTGCAATTACATGATATTGATTTCTTATAAATATCGATTTCCATGAAAATGACCAGGGTTAAATATGAAGCACTAGAATGCAACTTTTCCTTCCCTTGAGTCTGTATCATTAAGCATTGTTTCATGTTCCGTAAGCCATTTGTGTTACCCACAGGGCACATCTACATGTTATAAAGAGAAGTGTGTGGTTGAATCAAATGAGAATCCAGGCACTAAAGTTTACTTTGGGATTTGGATTTTCTGTCCACCTTATTAATACCTTCATAATTTTTATTTTACTTGGTAGACGGAGTTAAAGAGAAGGCAGACATCAAGAGCAGGATTTTAAACAGTGTAACAAGTATAGGATTATTCTTAAGTGATTTTCTTTGTAAATTTATGAAAGCATCAGGCATATCCCCCACATGATGTTTTTTCATCTGTAGGTGGAGATTCCCAAATTTCCCGGTGGATATGCTATGACAATGAATATGTTTAGAATTTTGAGAGCACAATAAAAGATGACTATTATGGTTAAATAGTCATTATCTATTTTAACCAGATTTAGAATGTATATCCTACCCATCATGGATTTAGATCACTGTTGAATACAGAGATGAAAAATTATACTGCATAGAGAAATGTATCAGAAATTAAAAAAAAATTAAATTGTCGGGTGACTTGTTTGTATGGGCCGTATTTTCCCCAGAGAGGGTCAAATATCTAAAAGTATACAAATTCCACTGATGTAAGAACTGAACTGTGCCAAATCACACTAAGGATATTGTTACATTCTACTTTAAAAAACAATTTATTAATTTTTAATTAAACAATATCTTTTAACTCACTAATTTATCTTTAAGTAGCTTTGAACAGTATTCTTAATGTGTTCAAGTGCTAATAATTTAAATCATTCAAAACATTTTTTTCTGGTACAAATCACATGAGTCTTTTTCTTATAAAATTACCTCAGGATTATGTGTCCCTGCAAGGGAAAGATTTAGTTAAACTAGTGTTTGTAATCTGGGTGTTAATTTTGTTTCTTTTTTGTCTAAGCATCCCTTTTGGTGGAGCCCATCTTGTCTCGGGTACAGTTTAGTATCTGGACTAGAGAACGTTGTTCAGCTTTCTGCATTGAAGGGAGTAAAGCAGCTCATTGGTTTCCAACCCGGTCAGCACCCCAGAGGGATTACTACATGCTCCCTGGAAGAGTGCTTGCTTAGCACAGCAGAGAGATGCTCAATGCCTGGGCTCAGGAGAGGAGAAATTGGAGGAGTTTAATTTTAAAATGCTCCTTGGAAGATTTTGATCCCTCCTCTCAACCTCATCCTCTACTCTAGGGAGGACCCACTGCAGTCAATGGTCCAAGACACTTTCAGTTTTAACTTTTTATAAAAAACTAAATATATGAAAAACATTTTTTATTTTGTTTCAAGTACCAAACTCCTCTATCTTCCTTTTTAATCTGTCTAAGTTGATGTTTATAAAATTTTATGTAATACTTTTTTGGTTTAGTAGGAAGTGACCATCCATCCTTCATGATGAAAGGATGCCAAACATTTAATGACAAATAAAACCTAAGTAACAGATTCCAGACAGAAAATTGTAAGTGGATAAGAGCCAAAAATGCTTCATTGTAATGTCAGTATCCACTTACACTCTCACCAACAATATAACCATTTTGTAAGAGCTTTAAATTCCTCTTTTTAAGAAAAAGAAAAATTTCTAGACCAAAGCTTGGCAAACTGTCTCTTAAAGGGTCAAATAATCAATATTTTAGGTGCTGCAGGCCATGAGTCAAATCGAGGATATTATGTAGGTACCTATATAACTATTAAAATTTAACCATTTAAAGATGTAAAAACCATTCTTTGCTCCCAGACCAGACAAAAACAGGTGGTGGGCTGGATTGACCCATCGGCTGTAGTTTGCCAACCTCTGATCTAGACCATAATACATGCAGAAAAGCAAAAGAGACCTTGAATCTACTTCAAATCTTGTTTTGTTGGATTCCTTTCAATTTTCAGATGGTCCTTCCTAGAAGCCGTGGTTCTTAAGTGATGAGAAAAATCAATCATCATTTCAGAAAAAACTCAAAGTCAGGATAAACACATTAGAAAAGCACGTAAATACTTGATTTAATCATCTCTGTTATCCTCCCATCAGCCCTGGCAAAACTCATCGTTGCATCGAACTACTGCATTCCACTTTAGATTTTCTAACTTCACTGGAACATAAAGATGGATTCAAAAAACAAAAAACCTAAGATGATTAAAAGTCTGTTAAAAACAAACAAACAAACAAAAACACCTTCCTGAAAAGTAATTATTTTGCCTGGAGTTGAGCAGGTTAAGGAACAAATTAAAAATAGATTTGAAATTCCGAAGGGCTACACAGTGTATTCATTAGCCCTCCTGTTTTAAGATCTGAGATAAACGTTTGAATCAAAATTTTGGTATGAGATTTGAAAATGATGTAATGACACTCTTAGTTGGTAAACATTGGAGTAAATCCCTCTAGAAGGCTGTCAATCATCTTCCCCGAGTAAAGAATACATAGATGTTTACCATGGTTTTATCTGATATACCTATAGCAGGGAAGCATACTTTTTCTTTGATTGATTTATTCCTTCTTTCTTTCTCTAGGTAGGCTTACATTTAATGAGCATAGTCTAGTGTTTAAGGCACTGAGAATAGAAAAGTGAATGCTATACTCTTTGCTTTCAAATGAAGTCTAGAGATACAGGATATTTTTCATCATATTATTTCTTGATTTTTCTCTCTGTAAAATATGGAAACATTTGACTCTTGGATAGTATATTCTTCTCTTCCAGTTTTGAAATTAATGTATCTAGTTGCATTTGCTAATCAGGAATTAATCATTATGGTTCATATAAGCAAATGCTTTGGTATAAGCTAGTTCTGTGACTTTCCCAGTTGCCTAAACTTTCCAAGCCTCAACTGCATAAGGAAAAAATAACACCTACCTTATAGGGTTGTTGTAATACATTGAAAAATGTCTGTAAACTGCTTAACATGGTTCTTAAAATATAGTTACTTAATAAATGGAGTAGCTATTATTAATTTTACTCTAGAATCCAAGTTTTTCAACTTTTCTCTTTCTGAGCTCACCTGAAAGATAGGAATCTCTCCTTTCAATGACAGTAGCCCGTTGAAGTCTACATAGTACACCAGTCTAAATGCTCCCTCATCACTCTGGGATAACTTCATTGTCATTTTCCACTTTTTGCTCCTTTATCCATTTTCTGCAACTGGTACCAGAACTATGAATTTGATTTGCATCTTAGACTCTTCTTTCCTTCTTGCTCTTAGCACTTGTCCTGCGCTACTAACAGCCCCCAGCTAGGCTCTCTGTGTCCCACTTCTCTCCATTCTGCAGATTATGGGAAAACTATTACTTTCATTATTCTGTTTTTCCACTCAAGTTCTATTTTGGAATCAATCTTACATTATATTCTTCTAGTCCTAAATTCCTATGTGTTGTTTAAAAAATGCAGCATATGCTCTTTGTATTCGTGTCATCAAAACAAATTAAAACAAAACAGTGTACCACATTTTACCATATTTTTATCAGATTTTCATATTCACAAGGCTCTATAATTCTATACCTTTCTGTAGCCTTGCTCAAGTAGGTTTTATAATATTAACGGTACTTGATATTATAAAAGCTGTTTAAAATTTGCGAAGTCCTTTCCTCCCTGTAATTTCACATGAGTGCTACAGCACCCATTTGAAATGAGAAAGGCTTTCTAGCTCCAGCTTTTCCCCACGTTTATAGAGATATAATTGACACATGACATGGTGTAAATTTAAGGTGTACAATGTGTTGATTAGATACATTTATAAATTGCAAAATGATTACCACCACAGTCTTAGCTACCACCTCCATCCTGTCCC